AGACCATATTGAGTTGCATAACTTTACGCTTTTTAAATTGCTAAGTAGCATTCTATATGTGGAGATGTGCTTTATTTTGCCATTCCCCTATGGGTGGATCTTTAGATTACACATGATCTTTTACTAATACAAACAGGCTACCTGGAATGTCCTTGGTGTTCCTCTTGAGCTCCATGTGAGCTTCCCAAAGGAACTTTCCAGTTAATATTTTATCTCCAAAGAGTTCGATTTGTGCCCACAGATTCAATCTTAAGCACTTGTCAGATTCTTCCTTTGTGTTGGACTTAGTGTTAGATGTGCATGTATTCATCATCACAATCCTTCAGTCCCTTGTGAGGTGGGGACTGTTGTCACGGTGATTCTAGGCATGAGGGGCCAGAAGTTCTAGAAGATTACATAGTTGTCTCAAGGAAATATTGGTCAGGCAGTGCTTGAGGTCAGGTGAACAGCATTGGCCCACTGCACACCGTGTTGCTTCCATGCGTGGTCCTGTGACAACCATCTATAGTTATGGAGAAGGAAGGACTTGGAAGTTATGCTTTCTGGATTCTGGTTTCAGATTCTTGCTCTTCCCTGAGGATCTTAAGACCTTTTCTTGACTGTTAATCTCTTACAGCTTCAGCTTCCTCAGCTGAAAAGTGAAGTTCCAAATAATAATGTGGTCAAAAGGCACATGACTCAGGTTAATGCAGGGATCCAACAATGAGCTTTGAGTAGCAAATATGCAAAGCATTTCACTGTTATGGGGTAAATGAACAAAGTACCTTTACTTATGGAGACTAAATCCTGTACCAGTGACGGTTAAGTGCGTCACCTTGACAGAATGTCTTCCAGGTCTCCTGGCATTTGATCAAAAGGCCATAGTCTCTTCTTTAGTTTTCTGCTTTTCCTCTTTTCAGAATCGCTACTGCCTTAAACATTTCTGGGCCTTTTTATTAGTTTTAAAGAGATGACCTAAATCAGGAACATTTTCTTTACTTTGAACCACATCAAAAACTTAGAGATGGATCCCTTTTCCAAGGACTTCCAGTAATTTGGGAAAAACACCTGGCTTGAAAATAGGAATGAGTATTGGAGTCTTTAATAATAGCAACAGTAATAATAACAAATAGTGTTTATTAAGTGCTTTCCATGCATCACAAACTATGCTAAAGCTTTGCTTAAAGCATCAGGATTCTTTAGGTTGCAAGTTTCAGAAGCCATACCTAAACTGTCACAAGCATGAAAGATAATCTATTGGCTCATAAAGCAAAGAGATTCAGTTCTTCTGGCTTCAGGCATGGCTGCATTCAGGAGCTCAAGCAGTATCATAAAAACACACACACAAAAAACAATGTGAGTTGGGCCTGCTTTAATCTGATTTGCCTAACTTGGATAATGTGTCTGTCCTTAAACTGATCATGCTTGCTAGGAGGTGAGTTGCTTTGGTTAGCCAAGCCCAGGTTAAATGCCTATCCTGGGAGCCAGAGATGGAGAGACAGTCCCAACTCCAATCACTTGATCTGAGAAAAGAAAAGGCAATTCTGTAAAAGAAAATCAGGGAAAGTGAGAATGATATTTGGGTTGGCTGAAATCTCAGATGCCCCACATAAACTACCAGATTTAGTTCTCATGGTAATTCTGCCAAGCAATACTGTTATTTCTGGTTAGATAAAGAAATGGATGTTTTGCATGGTTAATTGGTTTGCTCAACGCCACCCAGCTAGAAATTAGAGGAACTGGACTTTGAGATGAGATTTGATTGCATTCCTAACCATTTCACTCTAACTCTGACCCTGTTCTAGCATTCCCATCCTACCCCCACTTCCCAGCCTCCTCCAGGCACAGAGGGTGATGCATACTAACCACAAGAGGTCCAGGACTCATCAAATCACATTGGCATTGCTGCTGCCTAGTTTCTCTGAATGGCACACTCAGCTATGCAGCAAATGCTGGTCAACTCACAGTCATATTAAGGGAAATCTTTACTAAACCAATCCATGGAGTACACAAAACCTTTGGTCTTTCCAACTTCCCATCAAGTGGCCTTGTGCTCAAGGGTAAAGCAAAGGGCTTATAAATCACAGGAAAGGTTCCCTTGACATATTCCTCACAGCTGGAATATGAACAAAGTGTTGTTTACTTTGTTCAACACTACAATTAGTGAAAATCAAAATGTCTACAGATGCATTCACTGTAGTAAATTATTAGGTAATTAACCTTAATGCTCCCTGCTCTGAATCACCAACTTTCTTCTGCTCTGGAGTTGTTGAGAGTATTTTTTTAGGCATTAAAATATATGACTGCACCACAGCTTAATGCTAAACACAACAAAGTTTGAATACATTGGACAGGATTTAAAATTGAACAAATTTCAAAAGAGGGAGAGGAAGAGCTTTGCTTGCTATTGAAGGAAAAATACAGACTTATAAAGACTGAATTGACAAAATAAGAAAGAGAGGTGTTCTTTTTAAGCAATCTCAAACTCATACTTTCTTTTTTTCTACTGGCAAGTTTAAGCCCTTATCACGTCATGCTTGAGCTATTTTAATAGAGAACTTCGAAATGGTCTCTTTCTTTCTCTCCTCTCTGATCCATTGTACCAGATTAATCTTCTTGAAGCACAGAACTTATAATAGCACCGGACTCATAAGCCTTCGGTGGCTCCACCTTGCTAATAAACAACATCCAAATACCCTAGCTTAATTTTCGATTCTTCCTCAATCTAGCTTTCAAACTACCTTATCCATTATGGCTCCACATGTTGCCTTTAAGCATCCAACTGCTGCCTGAACATCCCTCCTGGGTTTTCTTGCCTTAGCTTATGTTCCTTCCTAGGACTGGGAGAATGTAAAAAGGTGATGGTTAAGAGAAAATTCTCTGGGATGAGGTTGCATAGATTTAAAAGCCTGATTTGTCACTGACTCTGTGACCCTGGACATGCTAATTAACCTCTCTGCTACGCAGTTTCCTTATCTATGAAGTGTGAATGCTAATAGATTAAGCGATATATGCATGAAAAGACCTAAAAAATTACTCAGTAGATTTTAATACTTCTCTCCCTAGAAGTATATATTCTACCATTTTTAATGTATGAAATTCTATTCCTGTTTTTAATATGATGTGTTTTCATGGATGATGATGACAATAATGATGATGGCATTTTCTATACTTAGCTCATTTGCTTCAAAACAATGTATTGAAGTAGATTTTGTTATCTCCTACTATGCAGCCAAGAAAATTGACAATGGGAGAGGATGAGTATTTTACATAAGATCTCAGAGCTAGTGAGTAGCCAGGCTGGATTTAGGACCCAAGCTTGTTGTCTTCTGAGCTCAGATACTCAGAAGTTTTTTCTGAATAGTTGGTCCCCTACAGGAGTATCCACCCCCTACTGTATACATGGCTTCTATCACTCTTTGAGAACTTGTCATCAAGATATGTGCAGATACATAGACATTCAATGTGATCTTTCTTGCTTAAGCATAATCATGGGGTCTGTGTTTTTGTTTTTGAGTAGAAGTCTGAGTGTCACCTAGGCTGGGGAGCAGTGGTATGCTCGTGGCCACTGCAGCCTCGACCTGTTGGGCTCAGGTGATCATTCCACCTCGACCTTCCAAGTAATTGGAAACACAGGTTGTGTCACCATGCCCAACAATTTTTTTTTGTTTATTGTAGAGATGGGATCTCGTCAAGTTGCCTAGACTGGTCTTGAACCCCTGGGCTCAGGTAATCCTCTTGCTTCCACCTCCTAAAGTACTGGGATTACAGGTGTGAGCCACTGCGTCCAGTGGGCTCTGTGTTTTTTAACATGAGCTCTTCACAACCACAAGCTCAGTACTTTGCACATAGTGGATGATCAATACCTATTTGTAAATTAAATAGTTGTTTATTTTTGTAAAGGTCTTACATGGGTGGTTAATATTATACAAAGATAGGAATGATTCAGAATAAACTGAGACATAAGATCTTGGCAAGAAGGGTCAGAATTATAAGCAGTAAATTGAGAGTGATTGAGAATATATAAGTGAAGGCAATCTTAACTTTTTTCAGAAAATATCAGCAAATGTGACCTGCATCTTTCTTCTGTCCTCAAATTATGTATGTCATTTGAAAAGCCCTTCATGTGAGGTGACAAAAACCACCTAGAGTCTCAAGACACCAAAGGGGATATGATGGGAACATGCCATCTGTCCACAAACACATACACTTAAAAAGGTCCCTCTGACACTCTGCTTAAAGCGGCCTTTAGGGCATGAAGGACATTCTAGGTCTGGAGTGAAATGAAGTCATAACGTCTGATGGACCTTTAACTTCTATTTAGGAAAATGCGGTATTATGGTCCCTTGCAATAAGGCTTGCTCCCACTTCACCAAGACTGGCAGTTTTCAAAGTCAAGGAATAGTTTGATGATAAAGATTCTTCATGCTGATGATGGTCACATGGCAGTTTTGTTTGATTTTGAATATGTGGTCATATTGTGGTGTGCAGAGCAGGGGTACCCACATTTAGACTAGAGTCAGCCAGGCAGTTGGTAAACCAGGGATTCAGAGCTCTGACTCCACAGTCACACAGGGCTGGGTGTGACTTCAGCTTCACTGTTTCCCAGTTCTGTGACATCTGTCAAATCACATAACCTCTTTAAGCTGTTACCTTCTTTTGTGAATTGTAAATAGTAGTGTTTATGCTAAACAGTTGATATACAATCTAAAAAAAGTTAAGAATGTAGTTGGTGTTGAGTATATACAGTTGATCCTCATTATTTGTGGATTCTGTATGTGCAAATTTGCCTACTTGCTAAAACTTATTGGTAACCCCAAAGTCAACTCTAATGACACTTTCATGGTCATTCATAGACATGAAGAGAGCAAAGTTGAGTTGTCTGACATGCACATTCCCAACTGAGATCAAACAAGGCAATGCTCTGTCTTCTTGTTTGTTTTAGCATTTATGAGGGGGTACCCCCCAAAACTAGAATTATCTTTTGGAGGGTGGGCCCCTTGTAGAGACTTCCCTCACCTACCCCTCCAGTCTGGCAGGAAGATGGCAGCCTGCAATGCCTGAGGGCAGATCTGGGCTTGCCAGATGCTCCAGGCATTGGCCAGAAGGGGCTCACAAAGGCTTACCCTTCAGCGAGATGATGGTGCTGCCCCCTAGCTTCTCTGCAAGTGTGCAGTGGTCCTTGACCTCCTCGTAGCAGTTTGCTTGTAATTCATGCTTGATCACTGTCAGCTTCTTGATGGCGTCCTTGGAGCTGGCATAGATCATTTTGCTCTTAAAGGGTGCACACTCAGGAGCCCAGATGGTAGACACTAGGTTCCCCTTCTTGCTGTCCTTGGTCTCATAGGTTGTGTCATAGAGGGCATAGTGGCAGTTCTTGTCTGGAAGCATCTTGACAAAGGTGGCATAGGAGTCATCGACTGTCTGGCCCACGTCACCTACAAGGATCTCCTTGTCCCCTTTCAGGATGATGTTCTTCTTGTCCTCACTCAAGCAGAAGAGCACTGCCTTTTTGTGCTTCTTCACCTCCTCTGGTATTGAAGACTTGGGTACCTTTGTGTCATTGAACAATTTGATGATGCCATCAGAGACAGCAACACCAGAGGCCATGTTTCCGGAAGTGAAGAAGAGAGATGATGAGGAGAGCCAGAGAATAAGAGAACACTGCACTACTGCTGGGATCTGACTGAAACTCAGTGAATTTTTTTTGAGATTCTTTCAATGCATTTGCCCATTTCATGATGGGTGATTTACGAGCAAACCTGCCCACACCACGCTGAGTGTTCAGCAGTTTTTGCCCCCAAAATGACATGATCCCCATGCTCCACACTCCCCATTCAACCTGATCTTGCCCCAAGCAACTTGTTTTTGTTTCTTCAGATGAAAAAAGTCCTCAAAGAGAAACATTTTGCCGATGTGGAAGAAATAAAACAAAAACCGGCAGAAGCACTAAAAGGCATCAAAATTGATGAGTTTAAAAACTGTTTTGAGCAGTGCAAAAAGCATCTTGATAGAAGTATTTCATAAAATGGTGAGTACTTGGAAGATGACTGAAGTTTAAACATGTAAGAATAAATACACTTTAAAAAAATAAATACATTCCATTTTTTGGGTCCCCCCTCACGTATTATAAACAAGTGTCCATTTCAGTCTATTTAGTGCCATGTTTTTTGTATTTTTATGCTTTTTGTTAGTGATTTCTATGCTTTTTATTGGTAGTCCCAATTAAGATATTTCCCAAGCATGGCCCTGAAGTGCTCTCTAGTGTTCCTACATGCAAGAAGGTTGTCCTAAGGAGAAAATGCATGTACTAGCTAGGCTTTGTTCAGACATGAGCTATGTAGTACTGTTGACTATGAGTTCAATGTTAGAGAATCAATAGGATATGTTAAATAGAGTGTCTTTAAATAGAAACATGTGAAACAAGGTTATGCATTGATTATCTAATAAATATATTTTGATCAGAGACTCTCAGGGGCTAGCCTTGTGTATTTCCTAGGAACAATGGATCAGTATTTGCTAATTCAGTGTTCATGAAAGCTTCACAAAATATAACTGCTGTGAATAAAGAGATTAGACTGTAGTGATTTCTCAAAGATTGATAGATAGGATTATCATTATTATTATTTTATTTTAGAAACAGTGTAAACTCAGATTTGGCTGCTTTCACAAGACTGGATTCTGCTCTTGAGAATCTAAAAATTAGTCACTAAATTCAGTGCTGTTTATATTTTAGCAAATCATCGATTTATCACTCACATTTTGATCTCACCATTGTTTATCATGTTGTTAGAATCATAGCGTCCTTGGATTAGGGATATCCAGGGACTATACCAGGATTGGGTCCTGGGGTCCTGGGAGTGGACATAGGCAGGATGGGCAGGGCAGTAGAGGAACAGAAACTGGTCTGAGCCAGTGTGATGAAAGAGAGAGACACCAGAACAAAGCGAGGGACTTAGGAAGAATGAGTGACCAGAAGGAAGAGCTGTGAGAGGCTCCTACAAGGATGGGCATAGAAACAGGGCCATTTGATGGGTCAGGTCTGCTTTTGTTTATTAATAGGAAGGCTACTAATAATGGAGCTGGACAAGGTAGACTTATGTGATCATTACCTAGTCAATGCTCTTTAAACAGTTGATTTTATTTGCATAAGAAATACAAAGTTCCTATATAACCTTACCCATATGGCTAAGGTCTCTCTTAATCTACTCTCTCCCTCATTAGTGGTAACTTCTATTATAAATATAATTCTGGGCATCATCTGTGTGTGTAGGATATGTATGTTTATAGAAATTATATAGATTAAAAATTTGTTTGTGTACATGGCATTATGCCACGTATGTTGTCCTGAAACTTTTTTTTTCATTCAATAAGAGACCTTGGAGAAGTAACAATACATATGAATATCTGAATTATTACTTCTCCAAGTCTATTATTATGTAGAACTGTTGTAAACATCCTGTTTCTTTAAATAACCACCTAGCATTCTAAAGTTTGAACATGTTTTGGTTTATTCAGCTATTCACTTACTTATGGACATTAGGTGAATTCATGGTGTTTTGCATATTAAGTCAAAGCATGATGTTTAGCTCTTAAGTCAAAGTACTCCTTTTGGTTTCTACTGCATTTATTCTTTCACTGAATAGGTATTTGCTAAGCACCAGGTTTTGTGGTAGCTGCCGGGGATGCAGTGCCATCCTGCTGTCACTGGTTCTACAGTCTTATTGGCAACTGATTCAGGGATCAAGGGAAGATGCTCTTAGGACAGGTGTAGTGGGTTTCTCCTAACACAGGGCTGGTTTCTGAAACCAGTAAGCACAAATGGCAAAAATCCTGTGGCATCAGAATTAGCCTTGAAAGTCTCCTGCATTGTTTCATGTAGAATATTCAAGGTTTTTATAAGCAGTCGTCTATGAAACAGTAAGAGATAAATAAGAAATTCTGAAGTATTCCTCTTGCCTTCAGAATTTATTTTTGTTCTTTTAAATATTAGGCCTCTACAATGTTTATACAGGTGTGTGTGTGTGTGTGTGTGTGTGTGTGTGTGTGTGTGTGTGTGTGTGTGTTTCATGAGACTCTGGTAGGCATTGAAGTAGAAGATGGTACCTAGTTGTTACAGTCTAACTATAACTTAGATTCACATATGTGATATGATTCCACTTCATAGAAAATGCCCACAGGAGCCAATAGCACTATTCTGGACATATTCAGACACTCAGAACCACCCCATTAGTCACTGGACCCTGTACCCAATTATTCCTGGAGACAGGGAATCGTATTTATTAGCTTTGACTCTTTCAAAATTTGAACTTTTGTTTGGCATTCCCAATAACAAAACTAATTTTATGATACTGAGAGATACAGCTTTCTCTCCTGTCAACTTTTTGACAATGTTTTCTGACTTTTTGAAATTGGTATAATTCATGAAACTGATATAAAAACAAAAATGTAGAATTTTAAAATTCCAGAATGATTTGAACTCAATTATTTTCTCCTTTCCTAATATATCAATGGCTAAAAATAAGAGAATTATTTTTGTTTCTAGATGCATGGTAGAGAAGTCAAGGATTTTGTAAAGAAATGGTGTGGAGTCTATCATTTGTAATTGAGGAGAAAACCAAGAAGAGAAAAATTTAGGCAAGAGAGGAGTATGTAATCCCCAAATAAAGGGTTTTGAGAGCTTGAATTGGAAAAGTGAAGAAGGAAGGTTGAATGATAACAAGAGTATAATGTCTGTAAAGTGAGAGCATGCTCAAATAGGATGGGTTATCACTGAATTATGGGCAAACATTGAGTTTCACAGTTACTGTATATGGCTAGACTTTTTTTTGTCTCTTATCTAGCTCCCGTTTTTCTTATGTGGTAGTTGAGTTGACATAGAAGGGCCATAGTTTAAAAGCATCTAGATGGACTATAATTTGTGTGGTTGTCTTGAAGGTATGGTCAGCTAAGGAAGGCACTGCTGGGCATACAGGGTCCCTCACCCTCCTGGAGTTTGGTAAGCCTATGCAGAGTCAATTGCTTGCACCCTTAGGCATGCACATTGGGTCAGGTAGTGATGAAACCTAACCTGTTACTCCTTCCCCTAAGCTCCATTTCTATGCCTCATCAGTCACCCCAGGGAAGGCAGTCCTGCCTGGAATGAAGTCCCAGTTCACATTGTTTAAACAAAAGCAAAGCTTCAGAAAGGTTAGAATCAAAAGTTCACCAGTGAACTCACCAAAAATGAGAGTGCATGTAGGTTACACTTTTGATATGAGTGTGTATTCAACTTAAGTCCTATCCTTGGGAGTTAAAGCCAGCAATAAAAGTAAATCTTGAAGCTAATTAAGAAAATTATATTTGCATGGAGTTTTCATAATCAGATCAAGTGTACAATGTGGATATTAGAAAAATGGAGTTAGATCCAGACCTGGTAAAGTTTTATGGATTATCTATGATGTACTAAAGTTGATATGAGCATCCTGACCCACGATGTCTCGTTTAATTTTCATTGCGTTATCTCCTTGATTTCAGATCTACTAATATTTCCTGTTAGTTTTCTTAAAAACGTACTTTATTGAAGTTCTGTTTTCTATTTCCTGTCTTCTCATTATTATTTTGGGTAATGAGAAAAGAAATTCTCCAAAACTTTCTTCTAGTTCTTTTAATGTGTCTACTGTCAAATATGATTTGATGAAAAGAATGAAGATAGGGAGCACTTGGAAAATAGGAATCTACAGTGATATGGCTTGTATATTTGTAGTTATATGTTGCAAATGCCGTGAATACTATCACATTTTAAAACTGTAAAAAGTTGTTCATTTTCATGATCACAATGACACATTGTGCAACTGTGGGTATGCCTCTTTGTCTTCATGTTTGAGTATTACTCTAGGGTAAGTATCAAGTTACAGTTTTACTGGGACACAGAATCAGTACATTTTAAATTATAATAGATACTATCAAAATGCCCTCCAGTCTTATAAGGGGTCTGTGAGAGAACCTGCATGCCTACAAGCTCACCAAACTTTATTTTTACTTTTTTTGCCACTCTGTTGGATGTCATTGCTTACTTGTGGGATGATCAAGGGATGGTGGTTGAAGGGATTTAGTCTCATCTGCAATGTTTGCACTTTTATAAGTAGAATAAACTCATGTATACTTATGAAATTTAAATTTCTTTTTTAAAAAATGCACTTAAAGCCGGGCTTGGTGGCTCAGCCTGTAATCCCACACCTTTGGGAGGCTGAGGTTAGTGGATTGCCTGAGCCCGCGGGTTCGAGACCTGCCTGGGCAGGGAGACCTCATCTTTACAATAAATCAAAAAATCAGCCGGGCATGGTAGCGCATGCCTGTAATTCTGGCTACTTGGAAGGCTGAGGCGGAAGGATCGCCGGAGCCCAGCAGGTCGAGGCTGCGGTGGCCGGGAGCGGCCACTGCACTCCAGTCTGGGTGACCGAGTGAGACTCCAACTCAACAACAACAACAACAACAAAATAAAAAATAAAAAATGCACTTAAAAATGCATTCATATATTGAGTTGACTCTCATGGTGTGGTAGTGACCATCTGAGTTATCAGCACCAAAATAGTGAGAAAGAAGCCAAGGACAGGCCAAGGTTGGGAACTAGAGTGTTTTTTAGGCA